TTGACTTATTGATGACAGCCATCTGACAGGTGTGAGTGATATCTCATTGTGTTTTAATTTGCATTTCTCTGATGATCAGTGATGTAGAACATCCTTTCATATGACTATTGGCCATCTGTATGTCCTTTTTTGGAGAAGTGTCTATTCAGGTTCTTTGCCCATTTCTTAATTGGATTTTTGTGTTTTTTGTTTTGTTTTGTTGTTTTATTTGTATTGAGAGTTTTATAAGTTCCTTATAAATTCTGGATATTAAGCCTTTATCAGATGTATTGATGAATATGTTCTCTCATTCAGTGGGTTGTCTTTTTGTTTTGTTAATGGTTCCCTTTGCTGTGCAAAAATGTTTTCATTTCATAAAGTCCCATTTGTGTTTTTTTTCTTTTGTTTCCCATGCCTGAGGTGATATATCAGAAAAAATATCCCTAAGAGAAATGTTGGAGATTTTATTGCCTATGTTTTCTTTTAGAATTTTTATGGTTTCGAGTCTAACATTTAAGTCTTTAATCCATTTTGAGTTTACTCTTGTGTATGGTGTAAGGTGATCAACTTTCATTATTTTGCATGTTGTCCATCCAAGTTTCCCACACTTTTTATTGAATAGACTATCTTTACCCCATTGGGCTCTCTATTCTGTTCCATTGATCTATATGTCTGTTTTTATCCCAGTACCACGTTATTTTGATTACTATGGCCTTGTACCTTGTAGTTTATTTTTTAATCCTCACATTTATTGATTTTAGAAACAGAGGAAGGGGGAGAGAGAGAGAGGGAGGGAGGGAGGGAGGGAGAGAGAGAAAAAGAGAGAGAGAGAGAGAGAGAGAGAGAGAGAGAGAGAGAGAGAAAGAGAGGGAGAGAGAGAGAGAAAGATTGATTGGTTGCCTCCCATACCCCCAACCAGGGATTGAACTGCAACCTAGGTATATGTCCTGACTGGGAATCAAACCCGGAATCAAACCCACAACCTTTAGGTGTATGGGATGATCCTCTAATCAAATGAGCCACCTGGCCAGGGACTTGTAGTAAATTCTTATGTACAGTTCTGAATATCTCCTTAGGAAAAATTCCTGGAGGTAGAATTTATGAGATTAACATTTTATGCAACTTAATGTGCACTGCTAAATTGGCTTTCAGTGAAGCTATCTGCTTTACATATGAAATATGATTATTCTTAGTGCTATCATGGTAAAAAAAAAAAAAAGAGATATTGTGACCATAAAATTTATGAGCATAGACTTTGGAGCAAGATAAGGTTGGTTTCCAGTCTGAACATTAGTGCTTATTATATGATCTTAGGCAACTCTGCAACCCCCCATTTTCCATATATAAAATAGGATTCAATCACTTACCTCCTTAGTTGTAAATTTAAGAAATGTGTAAGATATACAATGGTAATCACATGTATGAGCACTCAAATGTGCAACATTATGACTTTGCCAAGTCTCTGTAGTCATACTACATTATCAAATTTCCTCTAATCTAATACCATTATTAGATTCACCTTTATTTTATGAACTACTAAGAAAGAACACTGTCAATTAAACTCTAACATACTATCTATTATAAGTAACATCTTGATTTCAGAGAATTATAAAAAGATGCATATCTTAAAACTGATGAAACACAGTACAAAAAAGAAAAAGAAAAACATTTTTAGGTGTTCAGAATTTAGCTGCTATATAAAACATACACACACCAAACCCCAAAACACCATCTCTGAAAAGTTAAAGAACAACAAAAACAAAATCTATGAAGCATCAACATTCATATTACAACTATTTAGTGCCAGGCAATACTTTTGCCAAGATAATTTAAATTTATCCTAAATAAAATTTTGACCAATAAACTAATGGCCAATAAACAAACATATATAGAGTTGTAAATAGTTGCTACTTCTATCATCCTATGGATTTACTGTACATGACTTCAGTCATCTGAATAAAATCACAGCATCATAGAATTTTATGGCTAAAAGGGCTCTCAGAGATAATTTCATTTTACATATATGGAAAATAAGATTTACATAATTTAAATGGCTAGTTAACATGTTACTAGCATGTTAATCATTGGCAATGCGAAAATGAGAATCTAGGTTTAGTGATTCTCAGTCCAGAGTAATTTAAAATTCTAAACATTAATTAATTTCTATATTTAACTAAACATATTTACCTTAACAATCAAAATTAAAGCTCTGGCTGGATGGCTCAGTTGGTTGGAGCGTTATCCCATGCACCAAAAGGTTGCAGGTTTGATTCCGGGTCAGGGCACATATCTAAGTTTTGGGTTCAATCCCCCATTGGGGTGTGTACAGGAGGCAACCAATCAGTGTTTCTCTCTCACACCGGTGCTCTTCTCTCTCTCTCTCTCTCTCTCTCTCTCTCTCTCTCTCTCTCTCCCCCCCTCCCTCCCTCCCTCCCTCCAAAAATCAATAAACATATCCTTGGGTGAGGATAAAAAAAAAAAATCAGGAGTAAAAGAGAAACCTATATTCGATATTAGAACTTAGGCTCACCGAATTCTGCAATTGTCAATCACTTGATGTCTGTTGATTATCTACTATGTATGGACATTATGATGTCCTGAAGGCTCTTTTGTCCTGAAAGTTCGTGTACTTAAAACCTTTGATTTGAAAGTTTTGATTAGGAGAACAGGGCTTGCTTTGTTAGCTACTACTATATTTCTTTGATCCTAAGAGGCACATTTTTCCTTAACACCTCTGAAAAGTTAAAATGGATGGCATCTCTGCTATACAAGTGGTAGTTAAGATAACAGTCATTAATGCCTACATATGTATCTATTTGATATTTTTGGTGATATAAATGCAATTCCTTGATGTTTCAGTTAACAACTACTTCAGAGAATGGAAATTAACTCCAGGTTATTATCTAAAAATCTTTTGTTGGGGCCTTCCAATAAGATCAAGAAAGTGCTATTATCAATGAGTATTACTGAAAAGAAAAATCTAGAGACAACTGTGGAGAAATGCTGTGATTCAGAGGTTTTCAAACTTTTGGTTTCATAATCCCTATATATGCTTAAAAATTATAGAGAATCCCAAAAAGCTTTTGCTTATGTAGGTTATACCTATTGATATTTGTCATTTAAAAAATTAAAACGAAGAAATTTTAAAAATAGTTGCTGATTTATTCCTTTAGAAACAGCTATAATAAACCCATTAGATGTTATTCTAATAAAATCTATACATAAAAAAGCCCAGTGACTGTAATGGTGGAATGACCAGAATGACTGGTGGCTATGATGCACACTGCGGCAGCCAATCAGCCTGATCTGGGCCCCCATCAACCCCCCACCCCCTGGCCGGCCCAGCCCCACATTGGCCCCCAACACCCCAATCGGGGGTGGGGCCAGCCAGCCCCACCCCCTATTGGCCCCCATTGGGGCGGGCTGGCCAGACTCCACCCATGCACGAATTCATGCACCGGGCCGCTAGTAGTCTAATAAAAATTACTTCAAAAAATGAGAATGCCATTATATTTTTATATTTTCTATTATATACTTCTATATTTGATTTGTTGAGATATCACAAATTATGTAGTCTCCAGAAAATATCACTGTACACTGTGAGAGAATGAAAGTGAAAAAGGTAAATAATGTTCTAGTATTATTGTGAAAATAGTTTCAACTTTGGGGCTCTCTGAAAGAATCTTGGAGAGTATCAGTGGTCACTGATCATACTTTTGAGAAACACTGCTGTAATGTAATACTTCTGAAGGCACAGAGGATAACACTGCAGGAAAACAGGAACGCCCAAAGCTTTACATCAAAAAATGATTCAGAAGAGCTGGATTCTAAATTCTAATTCTAAATTTATTATACCTTAATTTATTTTGCTTAAAATTTCCTTTTTATATATATGTGTTATCTGATTAAGAAAAGTTATATGCCTAAATAAATCTAAAAGAACTTTCAACAGTATAAAATAAAAATTCTATGTGATAAGAAAAACATGTATCATAGTTTATTGGCAGTGTTTTTCTTTTTTGTGGTTCATAAAATAATGATATGTATTATAATTGATGGTATTATAGATTCAATTAAATACAGTCAATATCATAAGGTCAAATCTGTATCATTATTTTCTCATGAGGAGAAGTTGGATGCCACTGGAATTTTTATCTACAAGTAATGATAGGATTGAAAAGATCAATTATAATGCAACTGAAACATTTGAAGAAAATGCTTTAAATGGTAAATATTTAACTTGTCTTTATACATTTCAGAATGATATTGTTACTAAATGAAATACTGAAACATCTTTTAATTATTCTTACAGTAAGATATTCTGCTTTTATAGGTTAATAATACTTTGATTTGAAAGTTGATATTCGGCCCTGGCCAGGTAGCTCAGCCGGTTAGAGCGTTGTCCTGATATGCCAAGGTGGGTTCGCTATCTGATCAGGGCACATACAAGAAGCAACCAATGAATACATAAGTAAGTGGAACAACAAATTGATGTTTCTCTCTCTCTCTCAAAAGAATGAATAAATATGAAAAAAGATAAGTTGACAGCCTTGGCTGGTGTGGCTCAGTTGGTTGAGCGTTGTTCCATACACTCTGAGTGGTCATTGATTGATTCCCCGTCAGGGCACAAGCCTGGGTTGCAGCTCCATCCCCATTTGGGGGCTTGCAGGAGGCAGGGATCAATGTTTCTTTCTCTCTCTCCCTCTCTCTTTCTCTGTCTCTAAAAGCAATAAAACCATATTTAAAAAGAAAAGAGAGGATGACATTATTTATCCTTCAATGTTGAAATTGGAATTTATTTTTAGGCTTAAAATATTGTATCATAAATTTTAAATGAAGAGCAGGTATATTTCAGTTTTTTTATATAATGGGAATTACACTTCACCTTTAATCATTTTTTTTATATTTTATTGATTTTTTACAGAGAGGAAGGGAGAGGGATAGAGAGTTAGAAACATCGATGAGAGAGAAACATCGATCAGCTGCCTCCTGCACACCCCCCACTGGGGATGTGCCCACAACCAAGGTACATGCCCTTGACTGGAATCGAACCTGGGGCCCTTGTGTCTGTAGGCTGGCGCTCTATCCACTGAGCCAAACCAGTAAGGGCCACCTTTAATCATTTTTAACATTTTTAAGTATTTTATGAATACAAAAAGAAAAAAAAAGAATAACTATTAACTAAATATATGTATTCATCATTCCAACTCACCTGGACTGTTTTTGCAGAATGATCTGAATGATTTAAAGTGGTTCTATCTGCATCTGGATCAGACTCTGTCTGCCTCAGGGAAGTATGCTTTTTCTTCGCAAGATCTGCATCTCTATTGTATGAGGATCCAAGTTTAGATGTGGGAGATAAACTTGTTTTTTTGATAGGTGATTCAGGATCTGACCGGCATTCTAAGGGTCTAGAATTCTCTAATTTTTCTTGCTCCAAGTTACTACTGATGTCCAGAGTCTGAAGCTTTGGCTCGCCTGTCACCTCACAAATAAAGGGTGGAGACACATCCTTCTTTTTATCACAAACATATAAATCACTTAATTCTAAAGTCTCAGCTTTCAATAGTCTCTTCTTGCCTAACAAAACTTGCGCGTGAGTTGAATCCGTACTGTAACATATTCCTGGGTCATCGGAACCTGAAGTCCTTCCAGAGCTCTGTTGGGACTTTTGGGGTTCTGTGTCACTTTTAGTCCTGCGACAGTAAGGGGAGGCTGTGCTTGGACTAAGATGATCATCAGGAGTCTGATGTTCACTTTCTGACTCTCCAACCCCACTATCATTTACAAATACAGAGTCGTCCTGTGATAAGAAGTCTACGGCTGTGCTGGTAGGCTGCTGCAGTTCAGGTTCCTGTTTCAGATCACTAAGTTCTGCATAGAATTTTTCTTGATCAACAGAACTGTTTGTATCTGTTTCATAGTTTCCAACTTTATATGTGCTTTTACTGCTGTTTTCCTCTATCTGAACAACATTTAGTTCTTGGCCACTGAAATGTGCCCTTATTTGATAGAGATAAGTCATAACAGTCAGTTTGTCAGGAATTGCTAATAAGACCATGTCAGAAGGTTCCAATAACCGGGAAATTCCTATGCTGGCAAATCCATCATATGCCTTCAAAGGAAGGAAAAACAAAAGATATATTGAACAGTTCAGATATTCCATACATTTTAAAAACAGCAAAAAAAAACACCCCCAAACAAACAAACAAAAAACAACGAATGTTAATTAAACTTAATGTGGGGAATGTTTCACAGTGACTCAAATATTGAAACATGTTGTACACCTGAAACTAATATAATGTTATATGTAAATTAAATATCAAAATTAAGTTTAAAAAATGAATAAAATTAAGTTACCATAAAAAAACAAGCAGCAAAATTTTAGTGGATTTTTGTTGTTGGAGGGTACATGACAACTACATGAGCAAAACAAAATTCCAAGTCATAAATTTGTAAAAGTGGGGTAGATCCCAGAGAAATTTCCTTAATATCAAATGGAATGTTCTTTTCCAATAAAGAAAATAAGCAAAGAAAGAGAGTTAAAACAAACAAAAAAAACCTTAGAATTTATTTTTTAAGGTAAGGAATTAAGTTATAAGAAATAGTTCATTTGGACTTTATCATTCCTATCAAACTCTCTTTTCCATGGTCATGTAACTGAAGTGACTTATGAAGAATAAATACAGCTGGATACTCCAAAAGAACTAACTCCTAGATTACCTAGTATAAAATACAAGTCTACAAACATAGCAACTTTTTAAATGCCCAATTGAAATTGATTTTCATAATTAAAAGAGGAACTTAATTTCACTTCATCCATTTTGGAAAGAATAAAATGTTTTGAGTAGCTGAAGATGTGAGACTGCACTGTATTATTTTTGTTAGCCTTTAAGTGACTGTGGCATTTCAGGTTTTTCTAGTTTTGAAGAATCAAAGCTGTTTCTCAATTTACAATTAATTATTAGTATCCTGACCTAACCCTTGAAAACAGCATTGCGTTGCTAGGAAGCATTAATAATATGGTTTAAGGTTTAGACATATTCTTAGAGAAAGTAAAGATCCTTTAGTTATATTCTTACTTTGGGATATAAAATACCTATTTTTGTAACAACCAAGATGTGGGATCATAACTCAAAGTTTTTCTTAAAAAAAAACACAACACATTAGGAAATCAGGTAACAGTTAAGAAGAAATCAGTCTTTTGCACTTACGTGTTAAAGTGCATCACTACCTTTGAACTTAGTCCTTGTCTTTTTTGTATTCTTCCAGTAGTTTAATAAATGTTATGGAATACGTTAGAAAGAAAAGGAAAAGGAAACTGCGATATTAAAACCACTTCAATTTTCATAGCCCTATATTTCATAATATAGGTACCTCAAAATATTTACTTGAGAGAATGTCTCAGTTGATGTGCATGTTTAGGCCTGTTTGTTACTTTACATGTTTTAGGAAAATTAAAGTCATTTTCCTCCTTATGTGTCTTGACAACTAGATTAACAGGCATCAATTGCAGACCATCAGGAAAAGCACCACAAGCAGTATTCTAAACATTTCCCAATTATCTAAAACACTGACATATTGGTTAAGATCAGATGTCACAGGTAAATACCTTTTTTATTCAGCACTTTTTACAGACCTGGGAAAATGATTAGCTTCCTTGTGGGGAATCTCCTGCTGGTGTTCTGCTTCATGTAGCAGTTCATTTTATGCACACTAATTGCACTAAAGAAAAACATTTAAAGACAAACCAGGTTTCTTATAAGCGAGGTCAAGACTTTTAAAGGAATTTTCCCATAGGTTAACCTCTTCTGCTATGGTCAACCACCTACTATCTTTTTAGCTATTAGTGTGGGGAGAAAAAAGAGGTATTTGAGAGAAAATTGTTTTATTCGGTCCTAGATATTACTTAATTGGTAAGGAGGAATCATTGCTAGTTATGTTATACATCTGTATGGAACTTAAAACATAGGCATTGTTTCTCCTGCTGCTTTAAGTTCAATCAAGGGCAGATGGGGTTATCAGGAAGAACTGTGTGAAGCCGGAAATAAATCTGCAGGTAGCAACTGATACTCAATGTAGATATTAGGTAAGAAGTTGCAAAGTGATGAAAAGAAAAGACTGTATAACAACAACTATTTGAATCGTGCAATGAATAGGATCATCAAAATTAAAATCCTTTCAAGACATGATTATCTGCCCTGAAAGATCTAATTGAGAAAAAATTTAATAGGATATTCTCCTTTATGTCATAATGTGTAAATCCAAGGTATGCTCATCATTATTAAGTTCCTGAAAAAAATAATGTAAAGAAGAGTGGCTTAAGCCTTAATGAGTTTGCATACTCTTAAATATTATTTAGATAAAAACGTTTTCTTTTCAAAATTTTAAACAGTAACCCGAAAGCTTCACTTAATAAAAATAATGATTTACAATGCTTCTATCTGCATTTAAATTAGCTTAATATTTTATTCAAATACAAAAATGAAAGTAAAGAACTGTCATATCTAAAGATATAATTTAATCGATGAAAAACAAGTTCTCTAAAATTATACAATAGATATAAGCTCTCTAAAATTATACAGAAAATATTTTATTAGAATGACTTACTTTGCAGCATGCCCACCATAAAGGTGATTTCTATAAAGAAAATCATATTGTTTTTTTAAGATTAGATTTTCTTGGGTAACATATTTCAATTAAAAATGGACAGTTTTTAAATGTATTTCCTTATGGCCAGCATAATAACAATACATTTGCAAATAAATAAGAATTTTTTAACAGTAATACAAATTTTTGGTATGAGAGAGCAATAAAAGTAAAAAAAAATATTTTGACTTAGTTAATTGAACTTCTATCAAAGTCTCCTTTATAGACATTTTATTACTGGTGGTTTTAATAATCTAAATAATTATTAATCACTTTATCCCATGAATTCTTTTGGCAATGAATCCCTTCACAGAATAATGTTTTACATGTATAAGATACATAGGATTACAAAAGAAGCCAATTATATTAAAAAAATAAAACTATGAAAATATTAGCAAAACTCAGTTTGAGAAACTAATATATGTGCTTTTATAAATGCATTAACTACTGTAATTTTGAAGAAGTGATGAGCTTAAAAGGTATTGGTAGATATTTACAGCTGTACAGTGACATGAAAATATCTGAAATTCTAAAGGTGATAAAGTCTCAGTCATGGCTGATCCTACAGTAGATTGTTGCCTAAATTTATAATTGAAGGAAATGCTAACTTTTAGTTAAAAATTTGAGGAAAATATATTTTTTCCACCAGCCATGTTCAAAGATGCCCTGAGTTCTGTCCATAGCCCCAGGTTAGGAACTCCGGTTCTGAGATAATACATTTCATTAACTTAGCAGTTGAAGAATTCAATTAAGCACAACCCCTACCTCCCTAAAACAACAACACTGAATACTACTGTGTGTTGAGTTAGATGATTCCCTGTTTTTTCATTTCAAGGTGCACAGACTGTAATATTGTGCTATTGAGGGAAGTTGTTAAGTCAGCCTACTGCCATACTCAGCTGGCCCTGGAAGGCTCCAGCAATTCAGCCCTTGCACAACTACCTTGAAGGCTGAAAGAATCGATATCCCCAGATACCAATTGGGAAGCTCTGACCTCAGTATATTAATTAATCATGTGGGGGAAAAATTGCAGTTTACCAGAAAATAAAAAAAAAAAACCAATGTTCATATCATTTTGTTTCTAGGAACACAGGCATTCTTTTTTGGCTTTAGGTTCCTGACCTCATCCTCTCCCAACAGATTTTTCTAAACTCATAATAATTTATGGCACAACCACTATGGGTGCACTTTTTAAAAGCTAAATTCTGAATAAAAGCAATATGGTTTAACAAATATTTAACAGGTAATGAAGTTCATACACATAGTATAATCTGATACCAGACTGGCACTCGTGATCTTTAAAGGCCATAACAAACTAGAATAAGCCATGCATCCTATTTGAACTGCAGGAAGGGGACTACCTTCTGAGAGCTGCAGTTAGGACCTTGCAAACAATCTCACTTTCACCAAATTAATAAAAGCCTACAGAGAAGCCAAAACTACAACTTTTTTTTTTCTTGGCAATTCTTACCTTTTTGTTGTTCTCTTTAATATCTTGAGGATTCAGAGACTTGTAGTCACTGAGGGAGAAAATGGCACAGTAGGATATATACAGTATTTTACAAAACAGCTATTTTTAAAACAAACTGAATCTAAAAATTTGACACTCAATAATACCCAAGAGTAACTAGCAACTTCACAGCAATTCAATCAAGAAAACTAATTATGTGGGAAATGAACAAAAATAAATAAACAAACAAACAAACAAAAACAGTGATTACATGTTTCATTGCCTGAAGCTTTCCATAAGAGAAGTTAAGGCAGGGAACCAGAGACTAGCCTTGACAACCAAATAGCCTTGACAACCAAACAAACCATGAGGCAATACCTTGTCAATGTACAAAGAGCTACAGGCTTCTTTGTGTGATATAATTTTAACACTAACCCAATTTCTTTTTTCATCTACTTCTCTTTCTAAATTTTTTTAAAAATCTTTATTGTTGAAACACTAACCCAATTTTTATAATAATTTAAAGTAAGTTCTTTGTATGAGATTAAGAAGAAAAATAATTTTTAAAAAACCAGATTTTTTAGGTATCAAGAAGGAAGGACTTATTTTTCTGGCATGCATTTCTTTCTTTTGTAAACAATTTATTTTTATTAATTTCAGAGAGGATGGGAGAGGGAGAGACAGAAACATCAATGATGGGAGAGAATCATTGATTTGCTGCTTCCTGCACGCCCCCTACTGGGGATAAAGCCCACAACCCGGGCATGTGCCCTTAACTGGGATCCTTCAGTCTACAGGCTGACACTCTACTATGCCAAACCAGCTAGGGTGGCATGCATTTCTTTCAAAAAGAAGAGGTGTAGGTAATAAAAAAGAAATACGAAGTCAAGTATTTCAGGACACATGTTAAAATTATTTTATTTTTTTAAAGCTATCTTTTATTTACAAAATATTTATAGGGAATGAAAATTTTTTACTTACATTAAATCCGGTCTAAAGTGGTGTAATATTGCACAAAAAGATAAACCATTTCTCCATGATGTAGTAAAATTTGTGATTTTTACTCCCCGATAGTTTTTCGTAACTTCTTTGCACCATACAAGCAATGACTGACTAGCATTTGGCTTTCGCCCCAAAATAGGACTTGGTATAGGACTTGGCTAGAAAAAAGAAAAAGATTATAATAGAAAATTAGTATTAAATGACCTTTCTAGATCATTTGAACCCTTCGATGTAAGTTTAGGTCCTTCAAAACTGTCAATTCAAGGCAACTGTAACCCCCAAGAAAGAAACATGAATTATAAGTTGTTATCCTATGGCATTCACCTGGCAAAGATGTAGGTATGCAAGATTAGTGGAAACACTGTATTAAAATATTTCAACATTTCAGGATGAATATACGTATAACTTGCACACCCTAAAAAAAAATTGCCCACATGCAATCATGTACAAATATAGTTTCTTTTTTTTACTAAAGAATAATGTATTTGGAAGTCTAACTGTGACACAAATTGTTAGTAATGGAGAGATCAACACACAGTAATCATATTCAATGTAGATAGCAGAATGATAATCATAATCAAATGTACTTCTTACATAAATTTAAAGATGGCAAAACGAATTTAGAGTTATTATCAATAGTCAGGTGTTGGTAACACAACAATATGTAATTTGGATTTGCTCAAAATATCTTCTAATTATCAGTTATAACTACTTTTAAATATTAAGTCACTTAGGAGTACATGTTTGTATGCGTGTGTTTTAAATCTGAAGCATATACTTGGCTTTTCCTTGTTCATATACTTAAAACAACGATGACAGCAAACTAAGACCATAAAATAAGATTTTTACCCTAAACTCTAATTATTCTTAAAACAATGCCATTTTATTTTACTGTGTAACAACCACATTTTGTGATGGTAACTGTAGAGACTGATACAATTGAAAACTTAAAAAGAAGACTACTAAATGTTTCTGGACTTTAAATCTTGCTATCAGTTAAGAGTATTGGCTATAGACATAATATAGAGGCCCTCTAAAATAAGGTGAAAGGAGAATAATTATTTATCCCTAATATCATTTAAGTTTAACAAGCAAATTATTCTTGCCACGCAGCTTGTTTAAAAAAGACCAATGATGCCCCCACTTGACAAAAGCATGCTAGTGCTAGACAATTAAAATTATCAGCCCCACATAACCATGATTTATGCATTCACTCTTCCTGTGGAAGACTACTAAAGAACACCAAGGATATAATTTCTTACTTTTTTATTAACTGTCAGTTAAACAGATTATGTAAAAAAAACAAAGAATCTATTGAAGTTTTGTTCTCTAAATAGTCTATACAAAGTCAATGCTGAATAATTCACAGGTCATAAAAGACAAATTTTTATTAATTCTATTCAATATGAATAAGTAGGTAAAATGGAATTCCCAATATAGTAAAATATTAACCTTAAAATAAATAATAGCTCTCTTAACTACCAATCTAACATGTATAAAAATTAACTATTAAATCTTTTCACCTAATGGTGTCTTTTCACTGTGACTTTCAAATCCCTCTTAACTTGAAAATAGAGTGGCAAGCAGTCTATGATTGAGCTAGGAGATCGATAAACTGGGCATAACCACATTTTTTCTTAGATTTTCTATTATTTAAAGGATTGTTTTTATTGAAATAATTTTTGTAATCCAGCACTTTCTCTTCTGGATACATACCTGAAAAATCTGATAACACTAATTCATATACATATAAATACCCCTATGTTCATTGCAGCATTATTTATAATAGCCAAGATATGGAAACAACCTAAGTGTCCCTCCACAGATGATTTGATAAATATGCAGAATACTATTTAGCCATAAAAGAAGATGAAATATTGCCATTCGGGACATCATGGATGGATCTTGAAAGTATTATGCTAGGTGAAATAAGTCAGATAGAAAAGAACAAAAATTGCATGATGTGGAATATAAAACAAAAAATAACAAATGAAATTACGAACTAATAGATATAGACAACAGAATGGTGGTTACCGTAGGGAAGTAGGTGGAGGGAGGACAAACTGGGTAAAGGAGATCAGATATGTGGTAATGGAAGGAAACTAGACTTTGGATGGTGAGCACACAATAGAGTATAATGCACCAAATTATAATGTCATACACCTGAAATTTATATGATGTTATTAACCAGTGTTACGTCAATAAATTTAATTTTTAAAAACAGAATAAAATATTTTTCTGTATCGAATTATTGTTTTAAAGCATTGATTTATTCCAAGTATGGGTAGCATGTAGATGGGCCACTAACCTGCAACTATCATTACATTGATTCATTCTAATCATCAGTAGCATGTACATAAGTAATGTACATATGTCATCATCATATTACAATCTAGCAGTGGTTCTCAACCTTCTGGACCTTTAAATACAGTTCCTCATGTTGTGACCCAACCATAAAATTATTTTCGTTGCTACTTCATAACTGTAATGTTGCTACTGTTATGAATCGTAATGTAAATATCTGATATGCAGGATGGTCTTAGGCGACCCTTGTGAAAGGGTCGTTCGACTGCCAAAGGGGTCGCGACCCACAGGTTGAGAACCGCTGAGAGTGTTTTTCTGTACTTAAAAATTAATGAAAACATACCATGTCATTATGATTTGGAATATATCCCGTTTCTAAGAAAGGCTCAATATGAAAAGACTGAAAGAACTAAACTAAACTTTGGACTTATCCTAATACCAAACCCTTATATTAAAACATCTCACAATAAAAATAAGTCATATGTATTGAAGAAACTTTGATGAAATCACAAGCACTAGAAATTGCAGAAAATTGAAGTACAGCCATTTTTCAATGAAGTCATCTACTTCACAACTACTGACCTTTCATCTTATATTTTGCATACCATGCTGCTGTAAAAAAAAGAAGGAACTCTTACCATTTGCAACGGCATGGATGGAACTGGAGAGCATTATGCTAAGTGAAATAAGCCAGTCAATGAAGAAAAAATACCACATGATCTCACTCATTCATGGATAATAAAGACCATTATAAACTTATGAACAATAATAGATACAGAGGCAGAGCTGCCTCAAACTGATTGTCAAACTGCAGCGGGAAGGCCAGGGAGGGTTGGGGGGCAGGAGAGATGGGGGTAAGAGATCAACCAAAGGACTTGTATGCATGCATATAAGCATAACCAATGGACATAAGACACTGGGGGGTAGGGGAGGCCAGGGATTGTCAAGGGCGGGGGAAAAAAAAGGACACATATGTAATACCCTTTGTAATACTTTAAGCAATAAAATAATAATAATAATAAAAAAGAACTAAGCAGGTAAGTCAGTTTGAAACCTTCTTGCTATTGCTGGCTCCTGATTTTGCAGTAAATGTGGCAGGTTGTTCCACTTCTTTGTCTCAGTTCCCTCATCTATAAAATGGGGATTGTAATGGTACTCATAGTGTTGTTGTAGTGACAAGATCTACTTCTCCCTGATCCCATCCAGCATACCCCAGACATGGTCCCATCTTATTGCGTTTGCACAGATTGTTCCATTTGCCTAGATGCTCTCCTCTTAGATATCTGCATGGTTAACTCCAATGCAACCCATCTCCATTTGACCACCCTAATTAATAACACAACCCATCTCCATCACCCAAACTCAACTAGGCTCTCCTGACTCCCCTTACCTTGCTCTATTTTTTTCCCATAGCTTATTATCTTCTTATGGTCCATACACTTTATTTTGGTTATTTCCAAAATATGCTTATTGTTATCTAGAGGCCTGGTGCACAAAATTCATACATGGGGGATGGGTCTCTCAGCCGGCCTGCAGCCTCTCCAATCCTGGACCCCTCGGGGGATGACTGGCAGCTGGACATCCCTCTCACAATCCAGGACCACTAGCTCCTAACCGCTCACCTGCCTGCCTGCCTGATTGCCCCTAACTGCTCTCCCCTGCTGGCCTGATCACCCCTAACTGCTCTCCCCTGATGGCCTGATCCCCCTAACTGCTCTCCCCTGCTGGCCTGATCGCCCCTAACTGCCTCTCCCTTGGCCCCCATCACCGTGGCTTTGTCCAGAAGGATGTCTGGAAGGACGTCCAGAAGATGTCTGGTCTAATTAGCATATTACCCTTTTATTAGTATAGATCAGGGGTGGGCAAACTTTTTGACTCGAGGGCCACAATGGGTTCTTAAACTGGACCAGAGGGCCGGAACAAAAGTGTGGATGGAGTGTTTGTGTGAACTAATATAAATTCAAAGTAAACATCATTACATAAAAGGGTACGGTCTTTATTTTTTTAGTTTTATTCATTTCAAACGGGCTGGATCTGGCCCTCGGGCCGTAGTTTGCCCACGGCTGGTATAGATGCTAATTACCTGACCATCCTCATTAATAAAAGGGCTACAATAGCAGTGATTTTAGTTTTTGTTTATTAATTGATCCCAAGTGTCCAGAACAGTTCCTGGCACATAGTAGGCACTCAGTAAATACTGCTAAATCAATAAATTCATGCAAAAACACTTAGCCCAATGGATGACACATAGTAACTATTCAGTAAATGTTAACTGCAATTATTATTACTGCCACCAATGCATTATTAGCGCTTGAATTCCGATATTTGAGTGTTTTGGAAATGTTTAAAGACATTAATTTCTCCAAAATAAAGAAAAAATTCTGTAAACAAAGCTTTAACTATAAGGTAATCTTGATATTCTATGTGCAAAATGGGGCACTTGGAATTTTTGGCAATGCAACTATTTCTGGTGAGAGGAAGACATAAAAATCTGGCCATTAAGCATAGAACCAAACTTTCAAATGTTGGAACAACTCTTTAAAACTTATTTCTTGTATTTTTGCAATGATAAAATATATGAGAAGGCACCTCCATTTAACATATTGGGAAAGTAAGGCACATATATTATAGTTGTCCTTTTTATGCACAGAGAAAGAGGAAATTTAAAAAAGCTATTCTAATTATAACTTTATGATTAGAATGATCAGTCTGCTCAGTCAGATGATCCTACCAGTTCTCTCTCAATCAAGCCACTGTATAGACGAAATTTCACTGATCTCCGTTTAACTGAGAACTAGTTAAATGTCAACCATGATTACAGAGCCAATTTGAAGTGGTGACAGTAAAGAAGAAA